GCGATAAAGGCTAATTATCTCAGTATTGATTAATTTATAACAGCTATTTTCATTTCTGTAAGAAAAATTGTGTTTTTCCTGGTTTTCACCCGCTGCTGGAGGTTGTTTTTCAAACACACTCCAGATAAAGTGGAGGAGGTTTTTTTTTTTCTTTTTAAAATTTTATTTCCCAGTTGATGTAAGTATTGCTTGAAGAGGGATAATCAAAGCCATACATTTGAAGCATTTTGCATTTTAGTATGTGTGTGTAGGCTATAGGCTATCTGATACTGTCTGGCCAGAGGGTCTGTGAAGATAATTGGAGTCAAAGTCCATTAGAGTGATTTACACCATCTTATACATGCAACTCAGGAGAAATGCAATCGTTAAGACAAATTTGCTTGATTTTAAACTTATATATAAAACAGTGATGGATGTTAGATACTGAGGCAACAGTTGAAGAGTACCACTTCTAAATGCATCAGAGACTGTGTCACATATGAAGGTTGTCACACCATTTATGTCACTCAAAGCTTCAAACTTTACTGATGTTAAAGAACCTTTTGTTGGTTCGACAATATTTGGAAATGTTGATGCTTAAATTGCTTTGTATGTGACATTCAGAGCATTTAAATAGCAGCAAACCACTTCTTGTAATGGCGTATGTTGTAGGCTAAGGGCTCATTTATGCTCCCTTTACGTACAAAAATGTATACGTCAGTTTCAAACGATGTTACTGTCACTGCCCACATACTTCCATGCGCCCTTTACGTTGGCATGGATGTTAACCAATATATCCACCAGGAGGCAGCCCAGCGTCAAAAGTTTATGACAACAACAAACTCAAAACAAACATGGCGACTGTGGAGGAGATATTGATAATGTACCTCTTGCATAGAAGACAAAAACAGAGGCAGCGTTGTAGGAGTTGGTGGTCGGTGAGGCCGTTAAATACATCGCGACTGGAGGATGGAGAATTCTTTTCTTTAGTACTGCTGATGAGAGAAATTGAATTGTTATTTCTTCTTCGTGTCTCACTAGAGCTACGTATCGGGTAGTGACAGCAACACTGCCCCCACAGTTCCCAGTGGTACTGCTCCGTTTGGCCCGTATCCTTAAGCTTTATGGAAACGTGCAGAAATACAGACGAAATGAACGGAGCCTTCAGAGCCTTCTGTCCGTGCTCTGCGTTCATTTCCCGTCATTTCCCGTATCCGTATTTAACGTTGAGCATAAATGAGCCTTAATCCAAACCTTTCTGTAGCCACTGGCTAGCTCATCTCCGCCTCTTTGCACTGCACTCATACGGCGGGCACCACTGATACCAGGATGCTATTGTCATGGAAGTGTAGCACCCACGCTCTGGTTCCATAATGGCTAACACCATTAGCTCTATCAGCACTGTTCCTGTTGTTAAGCACGATTTGGGTTAGTATTGTTAGTAGGGCTGCAACGATTAGTCGACTAATCGATGACTAATCCACTATTGAAATAATTGGTGACTATTTCAGTCATCGACTAATCGGTTTGAGTCATTTTTTATAGAAAAATACTATAAAAGTACCCAAAATACTCTTATTGCAGCTTCTTATGTTCAAATATTGGCAGCTTTACACACTCTCCCATGATGGTGAACTAAAACGTGAGTGGCGTGAGTACGAAACAAGACATTAGATGACATCATTTTGGGGTTTGGGAGAGACAGACCGACATTTTTCAACATTTTAACACATTTTTCGATAAAATGATTAGTTGACTCATCGAAGAAATAATCAACAGATTAGTCAACAATGAAAATAATCGTCAGTTGCAGCCCTAATTGTTAGCAGCTAGCTGTGTGCAGACAACTCATTGGCTGTGAACTTTGCTTGGAGCCACTTGAACTACATTATGTACGATGTTCAATTTACACGTAACGTTCTTGGTATAACAAGACAAAGAGTCTACAGCCATGCTAGCGTGCATGCTAACACGCTCACAATGGCAATGCTAACAGACCAGTGTTTAGCAGGTAAATGTTCAGCTTCATAGCATGCTAAAATTTGCTAATTAGCACTAAACATGAAGTACAGTTGAGTTGAGTTTTGCAGGTATTTGGTTCGAATCTAAAGTGTTGTACAAATTAATTTAATATTTGTTGAGGCATTTTACTGAAATCTGCATTATTGGCAGCCGCTCTAACAGCTGGTTTCCAGTGCAAGAAGAAATCAATACAAAATACATTTTCAAACACACAGCTAACGTAAAATAAAAAGTATAATAGCATCTGTGACCTTATGTGCCGTTTCTCCTCCTCTGTTTCGCTCAAATGAGCAAGGAACCGGTACCTTTGGCGATAGAAGTGATCATAAACAAACATAAACCCTGCACCGTCCGCCATGTTGCTTTGACAGTTTGGCGTGACTTGCCTGGAACGCTATGGAGTTGTGAGTCGTGACTTGAAGTGGTGACTTGCGGGCACAGAACCTTGCCTGGAACGCATCATAAAATCAACATCATACCCATCATTCCCGGGTGGAAAAGAATACTTAAATTTGGAAAACAGATGTAACTGTAATATTTAAATATATATAGTTTAACTGGGTGGTCCAACCGATCTGATGTTTCTGCTGTCTTTATTTTATGTACTTTTTGCTTTGCTTTCATGTTTGATAAACCAAATCCACAGGCATAGAAGCTGCAACTGACAAACTCGGGCTGACATTGCTCTGGTGTGAGTGTTTTTGCTGGTTAGCAAAACATCCTGGCGCAGACTATTTCCAGGAGTTTACCAGCCTATCGCTCACGTGACATTTAAAGATAATTACAAGCATGGCCGATCTCGGCCTTTAATGTCCGATAGTCTACCACTGACATCATCTTGTCTCATCAACAAAAATGATATATGAATATATAGGCAGCGTTTGCTTAGCGCTGTTTGATTTTACTGTGTGTTGTATGTGATGCAGGATTTTCTACCTGGAAGTTATCGTTAATAAACATTGCAATTCAGATTATAGGATCGTGTGGGAACCATGAACATCTGTACCAAGCTTCATGGCAACCTGTCCAACAGCTGTTGAGATAATTCAGTCTGGATATCAGGTCTCCTAATTTTTTTATCAGAATACTGATTTGAATTCTTTTTCTTTAATCCTGTGTAGTACCTCAAGAGCACAAAATGACTATGCAGTAATCTACAAGCGTGTTACAGCTGAAGCCTGTAAAACAAAGTTTTTGTTCTGATGAGGTCTAAACTGACAAATGTGCTCTCAGGAGATGACAGCAACAAAGAGGCGGATAAAAAAATGGAAAGTAAGTAAGCATTAAGTGATGTAATGAATAAAGCAATGACGTTCCCCCATTTCAAATACTTCAAAACAAATTAAAATGGTTGTGTGTCAAAGCATATGTCTAATTAGGGAAGCACTGCAGTGTGTGTGTGTGTGTGTGTGTGTGTGTGTGCAGTGCTCCAGGCTAACAGAGGAGGCTAATGCGGTGGAAAATGTGTCTTATCCGGGCCATGAAATAACGATGAGACTCTGTGACTTAATCATGTTGACACATAAAGCTTTCTCTTCATCTACCCCTTGCTGTCTCTCTCATTGAAAGGCACACACTTTCTTTCTTTCTTTCTTTCTTTCTTTCTTTCTTTCTCCGCTCTCTTCTCTGTCTTGCACCACCTCTCAGCTTAATTAGTGTAATATTATGAACAATACCAGAGCAGCTTACAAAAGCTCTGTTTTAAAAACAAAACAAAAAAAAATTCATAGAAATTCAAACCTCATTCAAGTGATTATGACATCGTCCAAGAACATGTACTGGGGTGTAGAATTTAATCACAAACATGGTGAATAACAGATGTTGCAAAGACTTTTTCATATGATACCTGATTTTTAATTGTATTTATAGAGAGCATCAACCACTCAGTGTGTTTGCACTCTGTAATCCCCTCTCTGTGTTGTTGTTTCAATTGGTTTTGCTGGAGTCCACCTTTCCTATATTGAATCCCGAAACATAAGGGATACACAAATGAACAGCGTCACTCCTTCATCACAAAAACAGAAACAAAAAAACAAAAAAATCAATATTCCTTACTAGCTTAACTGCAGCGAGTACAAGTGGACAATGAATAAATAAATTTTTAAAAAGGGCATTCTTGAAAAGAAAAGAATAGAGACCAGTGTGACACAGTTAATCCTCCCAGCCCACGTTGTGTTTGGTGGCACAACAGATACGCTAGTTGCTCTTACTATGTTGCATATCCTCAGTACTTCCTCAAAGCTTCGTTGCTGCCCTCAGTTGTCGATGCACTTGTCATTTAAGATCAAAATATTAACTACAGTAGCTTCATTTTGAGACCTGTCTTTGCATGATTCAGTCCAAATAATTCTCTACATCTTCCTCATTGAGCAGCTGGTTGTTAATAATAAATGTTTGCATTGTTTGCTTCTGCAAACCACAGAAACGTCACATTTTTATGTTATTATTTGGAGAATATGTTAAAACTCAATGTTTCAAGAATGCTGTGGTTAACTTGTGGTTGTGTTCAGGCTAAAAAAAACACCTTGTTATTGTTAGAGAAATGTCATGTTTTGGCTTAAAATACACATTTTGGTGGCTTAAAAGCTGTTTGACATGCAGTGATGTCTCGGAAAAATGGGTCACTAAGAAAACCCCCAGATTCAGTGGGTGTCAAAAGCTGCTGGAAGATGCAACAATGACACGCTACAAAACGCTTTTATTTGTCGCCCTCATTTTGTGGACTGCACTGGTCTGCAGCTTGGCCTCCTGATGACGACGTCAGCTTATGTACTGTGTCACTTTAGAAACTTTGATTTATATGAAAGGTGCAAATGTAATGTATTTGTGGTTTGCAGAAATGTACAATGCAACATTTTCTTCTAGCGGCTGGGCTGTGTTCGTGGACGTACCAACCTCGCACTAAAGAGTGTTGAATTGTCTGTGTACAAGACGCTAAGCCATGAAATACTTGCTCAGTAAATCTCTAAATATATGCATCTTTTTCTCTCTCTGTTCAGGTGGCTGTACATTTGAGGAGTCATACAGCAGCTGTGGGTACAGCGTTTCTCTTGGAACCAATGGATTTACCTGGGAACAAGTCAACTCCTGGGAGAAACCCACCATGGACCCTGCCCTGCCCACTGGTAAGGTCCTACTTTTTGTGTTTCTGTTCAAGTACTCTTATGTAATCCAACAAACTTTATTTATGACCTGTTAGCTAAGGTGTGGTCACACACTGTGACAGTTGGACCAGCTTGGACACCACACGTCGTCCCAATAACTTGGACCAGTTCCTCTCTGGTCTGGGCCAGTTGGTGTTTACAGTCAGATGGTGTTCTGATGTCTTCTGATCCAATCACTGCCTTTATTTCTCATGACCCATGACTACAAATGAAGCTTCATATGGCACGAAAATAGTTCCAAAAATTTCCGTTTCGTGTGTTTAGTGCAAATTGCTGCATCAACCAGAGAGGCCAATTGATTTTGGCTGATACCCCGATGTAGAAATATGAAAAATCTCATGTGTCCATGAGATTTTGGCGTTGTAAAGTAACTCCACTGCTTTTGGGTGTAAAGACTGTAGCCCACTTTTATACGTCAGCAAGTCCATGAAGGTCTGCTTTGGTCCATGTGGTGTAAATGTTGTCGTTTGCCCCCTTTGACGAACTGGATGTAGACTGTAGGTATAAGGTATAAGCCTGCCTGCTGCATTCTGGGCTTAGCGCCGCTCAAGGCGTGATTGTATTGGTTTAGAAAAATACATACAACCTAGGGAAGAACGATAAGGTATGCTTTCAGACCTTTCTATAGCACTGACACAGCACTGTGGAGTTGGGTCTGGCTACATGAGACTAGCTATTGGCAAACCATGTTATGGTGCATCACCATTACAAACTGGAATATAGTGTGGATTGGGAAATGTGCACCACACCGATGTGCTCCCTCAATTTTAGTGTTATTGGAATCACGTGCACGTCTGCGCGACTGATAGGTTGTCCACAGCTGTCCGCAGACATTCAACTTCGAGGAGTCTGTCAGAGCCTTAAAAAATCGTGTATGTTGGTGGAAATGTGGGGTTTCTAGTCTTTGGAGCTTTTGTACATTTAAGGTCTGATCCCAACTTTAGACTCCAACCAATCAGATTTGATTATGTGTGTTGATACTGATGCATTTATCTTTGAAAATAAGATGATGATATAAAGCTCTAGATTTGTTTCAGCAGTTTTATATAATTCATCATTCATTTTCTGTAATTGCTTATCCTGTTGGGGTCGTGGGGGCGCCGGAGCCTATCTCAGCTGACATTGGACGAGAGGCGGAGTACACCCTGGACAGGTCACCACATAGAGCCAGACAACCATTCACGCTTACAGTCACCAATTAACCTAGCCTGCATGTCTTTGGACTGCGGGAGGAAGCCGTAGTACCCAGAGAAAACCCATGCTGACACTGGGAGGACATGCAAACTCTTCACTGTCTCACAACACACAGTTTTTGTCCCGTTATTGTCAAAGTCCAAACATATGTGGTGGCTGTGGCCCAGGAGGGAGAGCAGGTCGGTCGCTAATCAGAAGATTGTTGCTTTAATCCCCGGCTCCTTAAAGTGCAGGTGGTAGCCTCAGCCATCAGTGTGTGGATGTGTGTGTGAACAAGTGAGTAAAAGCGGTTTGAGTGGTCAGGAGACTAGAAAGGCGCCATACAAGTGCAAGTCCATTGACCATATTCAAATTAGCAGGCTGAAAAGTTAAACTTTTTTAATACATTGGGAGAAAAGGTTAAACGTGTTAACTTCTCCTCACATCTCCATCTCTCTTTCTGTCCATCTCAGTTGGCAGACTGATAGAACTCTTGTAGACAGATTGTGACGTGACCCTAGCTGGGTCTCTCTCTCTCCGCCTGTCAAACGACAAATGGCAATCAGACGGCCCGTCTATCCATCTCATTCTCTCACACACTTCTGCCCTTTTGCTCTCTCCCTCTTTCGCCCACACTCTCTCTCTCTCTTTCACACTTTCTGTCTGTTGCATTTCTCTCCCTCTGTCTGTCTCCAGTCACCTTCTCCTTCTCTCTTACTTCACTTATTTGACTGACATGAGCGTTTATCAGAAACTCGATTTCCAGAGCAGCATTAAAATTCACATACCAATAAGGGCATCCTCCTTATATCTTTCTTTTTCTCTTTCAAACTGGATCAATCTGCCACTATGTTAAATATACCATTAATACCTCACACAGCCTGGATTACGCCTCCCCTGTTGTGAGGGTATGATGTAGACAGGAAATGCTCTGGTTGTGATGAAACTATTTGGTGACTGATTGCTTTTTGTTGCTCTGGTCACATAATAGTGTCAGGAAATTGACTGTGAATGCGCTCACACAGAATAGGTCGAGGTCAGTGATGTAATAATCTACTGTGCTGTTGCCAAGAGTGATTATTCACCAGGTCAGCCATTAAAGGGAAATTTTGGTTTATTTCAACCTGTCTCCTATCATTCTAAATTTGTTTCAAGTGACTAGTGACATAAAAATAATAGTTAGCATGTTAGCTGTTAGCCTAGATACAGCCGGTGCGCATAGTAGCGTCAGACCTGTTAAAACGTAAGTGACTGGGCAACCTTCAAGTGCAAAGTTAGTCCACTAAACAAGCTTTTTTTCCACAAAGACCGCCTCATATCGTTAGGATAAATGTCAGAGAACATATAGAAAACGACATGTAAACGTGTTGTCTTACCTTACCGGTGTGCTGCCATGTTTGTTTACCATTTAGCTCTGCTTTCCAAAGCGCGGACGAAATATCGCGAGAACAAGCAGCAACAGCTGGAAGGCAGAACCGGACAGTAGCCTGAAAAGTTCATTCATTTATTTTATGATAGATTTATAGAATAATGGCTGACTTTTTGCCAGACTTTGACTTTGTGGAGGAGGAATTTGATTTTGCAGAGTTTTATGGCCGCCCTTATTTATTTGAGCCAGAATACACTGATGAAGAGCTTCGTGAAATTGAAGAACGGAGAAGGAGAGAGAGAGAGGCGCAACAGGTAGAGGACGAGAGGGCCTCCCTCATCTCCTCTTCCTCTTGCAGGGAGGCGACAATGCTAACCACTGGAAGACAAAGTCAACTCACATACTACATCACTTTAGAAACACTGATCTGATACTTGTAAAAGTTACAAAAGTGGTTAGCAGAAACGCACAATGCCAACATTCTCTTGTGGCGACTGGGCTGTGAGATCACCGCCAGAGGTATATTTCCATCTGGCTTCCTTTGTCTCTAATCCTCATGATTCTCACTTTGCACCCCAACCATCCCATAACCCCCTCCCTCCCTCTATCTCAATCGTATATTATCTCTCAGTCATGGCAATTATTGCTCTCATACATCATCATCATCTCTCTGTCTCTCTCTTTTCTCATCATTGTCTCTGACATGTCAGAAGTGGTGGAGAGAAAGATCTGTCAGCCACAGCCTCCACTCACCAGACCAAGATCTCGCACTGAAGATCTGATACGATTGAATGAGCATGAGCGCTATGCCAGCCTGTCTCTCTCTCAGCATGTATGTCTCATGTCAGTTATCTGTCTCATCTATCGTTGCGAGCGGTGGTTGTCGGGGGCAATAGCCATCATGCCCTATAACCCCTTCTCATCATAGACAACTTATTGACTGCACGCTGCCCTGACCGCTATAGATCTGATAAGGCAGGACAAGAACAAATTGTCTGCCAGTCTCTTGTCTGTCTCTAGTCATTTTTTTTTCAGGATGTTAAGTCTGCCGATGTACTCATAGTGGACCTTGGATGGCTATTTAAAGTATCAGTAGCATGTTGTAGCCATACAAAAACATTACTGTTGAAAGACTTGCAGATCTACTGAAGAAAAAGATGCTTTGTTATTTTCAGTTTCGTAAAAGCAAAGTAAAACAGGTTATGAAAGGGGTTAATTGACACCTTCATTGTTGTGAATAGAAAAAATAGTCTAGGCTCATTTTAAAAGCTGGAATCTTTTTTTAGGTTCTGCTTGTAACTTTTTTCATGTATTCATCATTTATTATTGCCGGTGGGTGAAAAGGTTGTAACTTAAAGGTGCGTTTTTGTAATTGTTTTTAATGACAATGAAGCTTTTTGCTCGTGGTTTTCGCCTGAGTGCTCTGAACTCAAATTGAAAAACATTCAACTCAGAGCAGAAAAACAGCCACATCATCTTCATCTTTTTTCCAACAAGACAACAAGTTTACAGTTGGTAAACAATGGAGGAGAAACTGTTGGTAGCGGTTGCTGGATACCCAGAGCTATACGGCCGGATGATACACAGCAGGTTGTCAAACTGCCCAGAGTCATCCTAAAATACGCCTGGAAACTTCCATCATGGAGGAGAAGCTCCTGGACCAACTGGTGGTAACCTTCCTGTGATCCACCCTCTTTTTTAGGGTCTCATGTACCCACACAGATCTCTGTTTATCTGTGCCCAACAAAGTATTTGCTGACAGCCTCTGCTGTGATTCACTGGACCACAGATGATTTGTCATTTGTTAAAATCTAAACTGGACATGTGAAGGCTTTTCTTCTCTGTTCTTCAAACAAAGACAGCCATTTGGCCCTTATCTCCAAAGGATGCCATTCTCAGACCTCAGTGAGAGACCAGTCACCAAACTTGATTGGGCAGTACTTTCACAGTGTCATGTGACTCTGTGATGTCACCAGGCAAACTGTAGGCGACGTTCTGCTCTCTCACACAGTCTTCCTCTTCCTCCTGGGCCATTGACCGGCCCAGAAGGCTTCTTTCCTGCACAGCCCGGTGGAGATGGACCTCCAGTCAGCGCCCGTATCAGCTTGGATTCAGCCTGGGTAAGACCGAGTGCCAGGGGCTAATTCTGGACCGACTGCTTGACCGCCATGGATCCACGCTGGATCAGCAAACTTCCTGTTGCTGTTGTTACACGGGCTAGATTCAGCTGCCGCACCAGTCCACTGTGAACCCTGGAGCTTGGGTTTGCACTGCCGTCCGCTCTCCTCCAGGGAAAGTAGTGTCCTAGAGGCAGGGGTCCATTGGCTGCACTACGTTACTAGTTCTTCAATTCCCTCAAATTCATTGCTTCAGAGAGGTGTCACAAATACCAAGGCATTTTTGAAAGTTACATACAGAG